ACTCCTGCTGGGTTAAATTTATGTTCTACATATTTCCTAAATATTTAATATCTAAAGCAAATTTCCTATATTAAAAAAGAGTTATATAAAGAAGTATTTAATTCGCTTAAAAGTATGCAATCAAATCGGAAATAATTATTTTTGGAAAAAAACCAAAGTTAAAATCGTATATTAATATTAATTTTTTGTAAATAAAAAATTGCTTGGGGTTTTAAATCTTTTGTAAGCTTTTGTCTCAGCATCAGCGTTCGCCTACCTTGTGCAACTGCTAATTTTTCTGTCTATGTTTTGTTGGTTAATCAGTCTTTTTCATTTTATATGTTAGCCATCGCAAAGTTCAACGAATATATCTGTGCAAAGCAAAAAAGAAACAGAGAAGAGTAGATAGAAAGAAAGAGAGAGAGAGAGAGGAATAGATTTTCCATTTATTATTTTTGAAATATTTTATATGACTGGCCAACAATACTGAATATGAAAAAACTAAAGATTTTTGAGAAGAACTAAATATTTTCTTTTTGGTATTCTAATAATTAGTTATTTCAAATTTAGCTATTATAAACTATTATTTACATATGATACTGACATAAATGAACTACTGAAAATCTACAAGTTTTTAAGAGCAGCTCAAAGCTGAAAGTAGCTTTCTATAGCCTTAAGTAAAACAATAAAAAAAAATTAAAAAAAAATTAAGTTTAGCAAATTTTCATTGAATCATTGTACTAAGAAAATTTGCTTTCAAGTTTCGTTTACTCTAATTGATTATAGGTTTAAATTGTATTTGTCAAAAATGGACCGAAAAGTGGTTGCACAAGTCCTATGCTTTCAAATAAAGATTAAGTATTTTAAATTGTTAACAATTTGTGTACGAACTATGTTTTATATTATAATCAGAAAATGTAAATATGCTGTTTATTATTAAAAATCAATAAAGCGTTAATAGAAAAGCACTGACGGGTTCTTTATTTTTAATAATTCATTATTTTAGTTTCACTTACCGGGCTGTAGTTCAATGGTGCCCGACTCACAGCAATCGGAAATCCAGAAGGCTGTGGACTGGTTGCCTGTACATAGCCGACGTTATCGGCTGCATTCGAGCTGTACATATCAATGGTAGGCCCAGGGGAGTTGGTTGAAGGAAACCCCTGACGGGTGGTGGTAGTATGAGGGGATGCGGAAGGTCCAAAGCTATGGGCTGCTGCAGCTGCTGCTTGATAGTTGTTCATCACTGAAAATAAAGAAGTTACAAAAGAAGTGAATTTTTCGTTTTACGTCTTTATGGTAAGCATAAATGTGTGAATCAAATAATTGATAAACCGGTGTTCCAAATATTACAAAAAAAAAACTATTAACTATTACTATTTACTGTTTTTTAGAAAAGAGCAAAGCAAAATAAATTCAAAGTTTTTTTAGATCAAAAGTAAAACGAATAAATATCTGTGAAACATTAACGTTTGTTTTTCTTTTAGCATTAAATTGTGGCATTTTTTGAACTTTTCGGATTTGAGTAGTGTCCTGGCCGTCGTAGCTGAGTGCTTAGGTGTACCTACTGCCACTCGCGGTTTGTGTATTATTAGGAAAGGACTTTTATTTTGGACTTAAAAAATATTTTAACTGTTATTGCTGGACTAAAAAAATAAAAGTCCGGATTTTTCAGTTATTATTGGACTTTTTCCTAAAAAGTTCGAAAAATAAAAAGAATCCAGCAGTCTTGTCCAGGAGGTACTGGGATCAAAAAAACATTGATAACTTTCTTTTACGGTAAGATTTTGCGCAGGACTTTTATAACATTGAAAAAAACTTTCATTTTTGGTTCGGTAAAAAACAAAAAAATGAAAAATGAGTTGTTGTTGTTCTTGTAACAGCATACAGATTCCCCAATGAGTTTTTGGGGAGTGTTGCTGGAGTGACAGTCCTTGGTCAGATATAAATCTAGGCAGGTCCGGTTACGTAGACCCGACGAGTCAATCACCCAAGTCAATATACATATACAGATGCTTCACTTAAAAAAAAAAAAACAGAATTAAAAACAAATCCGAAGAGTAATTAGAAACCCCATTAAGCATGTATATATAGGGTGATCCATATAGTGTTTTCAATGTTATGTTACTTATTTTGACAGTGACAATTCTTTCCCGCTGGGAATCTTGACGAAAGTCATTTTCATCTCGGCGGCTATTTTAAAAAGCAAAGCTGTCGCGTCTGGCGATAGGAAAGTCCGCATGTGACCATCGTGCTACTGGAAACGCCTTTCGGCCAACGGTGAGCGCTACAGAGACATGATACAAGATTTTTCGTGGCTGCAAACTGAAGACATGGATTGTGGGGTGCCGAGAAGGATCGATATTATGACAACAATCCACTAATGGTTCAGGCCCTTAATGTAAATATCGAGCAAGCCATTCTTGTGATAGAACCGACACCGAGATCTTACCCCGCTATTTAGTCTAGCGCCTGAATAAATTACCTCAAACTATTATTGTTAGCATCAAAACATGACACAGACCCTAGATATGATAAGCCCTAATAAATCTAGATAGCCTGTAGCGTAAAAACACTGAATTCAGACAACCACTTCTGGTACTGGATAAATTATTAAAACAATGGCAGAGCGAACAAAGTGCGCTCTTCTTTTACATCACTTTCCTTTAAAATTTATCATTTTTCGAAATGAGACTCTTAAAGAAAAATATGTACCTAATCAAGTAAAACCCACCTATGTACATTTGCATGTCACTTAAACTGTTTCGCTCTTCTGGATAGATCGCTCAGCTACTTCCAAGAAAAACCGTTCCTGAGTGGCCAAAGTTTTCAAAGAAATGATAACCCAGAAACCTCAAGTGTAATCTTCAGCAATACGTAAAGCAGTTCTTGGTTGCATGGGCGCGATCGTGGGGGCTGTATTTTTCTTTATTTGAGTGACCCAAAGTGAAACCTCTACCTTGCATGTATCTACATATCGATGGCTGAGTGGAAGATCGACCTATTTCGGCAGCTAGTTCGAAAACGCCCTATCTACAACGCTTTATCTAAGAAAACTTTTCAAGAACGCCCTACTTCAGAATTGGTTGGAAAACACCCTACCTGAGAATTGGGTTGAATAACGCCCTATCTCAGCTGCCGATTCAAAAGCGTATTTTCGTTTGAGATAGGGCGTTTTTGAACCGAGTTCTGAGATAGGGCGTTCTTCAACAAAATTCTGAGATAGAGTGTTTTTCAATAAAATTCTGAAGTAGACCGTTCTTGTAAAGTTTTCTGAGATAGGACGTTTTCGAACTGGCTGCCGAGATAGGTCGATCTTCCACTCAGCCATCGATATATTAGAAAAACTTCGGTAAAAAGTTCTCTATTCTTCCCCTTTAGTTGTGAGAGCAGGAATCTCGAAGCGGTTTACGAGCTTGGATTTGGTTCGCAGGCTTCTATTTCTCACTATTTCCTCGCCAACTTATGTGCTCGCATATATGTATATTTCCAGGAATGCCAATATGAGCCGGCACATATAGGCTGAGTTCCAAAACTTCAGTTGCATTTCATACGTACTAAGTATAATATAATATAATAATATAATGTTGGTAATCCGAAAAGTTATCGAAACGCCCCACTAGAGTAATCAGCGCATCAGAAACAAAATTGATGCTTCGTTTGTTTTTAGTTGCGATTGTTGTCGTAGAAATGGAAAATTACGAAAGGTTATTCATTGTTATATTGAATATTCAAAATATGCAATGTATGTGGTTGCAATGTTACGCAACTCTGCATATGCCAACAGTTTACATTCCGCAGTAGAACGATATCCAAACATTGTATTGGTACGTTTTGCAATTCACTTCAATTGGGAAAAGCTTGAGAAAAATCCTAAAAAAAAAAATAGTTATCGTGACTTTGGGTTAATGTTACACCCTATAATTGCATTAAACCCATACTTGATGATTTTTTAAAACTATCTAGATTTTCGACTTGTAGATAGAGGTAATGCAAATATACATTGTACAAAAAATCTCTGAGATATTAAGCTTTTTTCCCATTTCGTAGTAGCTAGCCAGCCTACCTAACCTAACCTAACCAGGAACCGTAAAACGGTAGAGGTTCTACAAAATTAAGTAGTCGGAGAGCGAAGAGAATGAATCGGCGTTGAACTCTTTCGAATCTGTGGGGTTCGTGAATTAAATGTGATCACAGTTAACATATATATATATACACCGGCGAAAATATAAATAGGGACACGACATTTTGCAAGTTTTGACCGACTTCCAAAAGGAGGAGTTTATCAAGTCGTGCGAATATTTTTTTATGTACATATGTTACCGCATCCTTTCAATCGGAAAGGTGGTACCTCAAAGGTGGTCCCATACTAATTTGGTTTAGATACGGTCATTGGACCATGAAGAAATTGACGATAAATTTTTATATGAGAATTGAAGTCGCTTGTGTTTTTTGTTTAAAAATTACTTGTTTTTTTTATGAAAGGATAGCTCGTTATCTATCAAAAACCAAAAGTCCAAACTTTAATCTTTGTACAAAAGTTAAGAAAATTCGACAAAGTTCCATAACAATGTTGAGCTTTTTAATTCGATTTTTTATTGATATTTTTACATGGACGTTGTTTTATAAATCTCACCGCCCCTTTTTTCTCGATATACATTTATACATGTAGACCCATCAGCAAATGTTTCTTAAATGGCAGTTCACTTGAAATTTTCCATTGTTGTCATTTAAACTAGAGCGGATACAAAAGAGCGTTTGTTCTTTTTCTCCACTCTCTAGCTCTGCACTAGAGTATATGTTTTACTGTGCGAGAGAAGAAGGCAGATAATGTTGTAGGAGATTTCGTATTTCATTTGTCTTCTTCCTTAATTTGCTGCTTACAATGATGTAGCAAGGATAATATAAATAAGATAACAATTTTAACTTAAACATTAAAAATATTACATCATACACAAAAATCTTCATTTTGAAGATATTTTCCGTGTAAAATTTTGGCTTTTTAAAAAATCTTCTTTTGAAGATTTTTCATAAAAAACAGCCCAGAAAATCTTAATTTTCAAGATAAATCTTGTCATAATCAGGCGGAGAGACGTCGATTCCATCGTACTTGCCTGGAGGTTCGAGTTCATTTTATGCGCTGCTTTCAATGCAGTTACGTCAGAGTAGTTGTTTTTATAAGAATTCGCCCTGATCATGAAACCTGCCGAGCACGTCAAGCTCATACTCACTTACTCCCACTCATTATGTCTTAAATATCAGGACTTTAAAAACTAAAATTAAAAACATATAAAAATATATTTATGTTTTATATGTATGTACCACTTCTTCCGCAATGTTTTACGGTGTATTAACCTCAATATTGTAATTTTGTTTTGAACTCAAACTTACCTGAAAGTGCCTGTGTGAGTAGCGGCGTGTTGTTGTTCGGCGTTAGTTGTCCATTAGTTAGATCCACTATTGGTGCCAATGGAGAAAATGGGAAAGCATGCGACAGATAGAAGACAAGAAAAAAAAGAGTTGAAAATAAGGTGTGTTAGTTGCGATTTTCAAACAACTTCGCTACAACTGAGCTATGAATTGCAAAACTAGTCCAAAAATATTGTTATTATTGGGTATTTATTTGAAAGTTTTACATACATATATAAGTAGTAAGTAAGTAAGTACGAGTACGAGTAAGTTTAAGTAAGTTTACGAGTATAGGTATTTGTCATAAGAACAAAATCATCTAATCGTTAATCAAAAAGGGGTATCCAGATATGTATAAGCAAAAATATAACGAGGAAATATGTATGTGTTTAAGCAAGTTGTTATGATGACTATATGTATGTAAATATTTAACGTTAAACGTTGACAACAGGAACAAGTAAACGCTAATACGTGAATAATTTCTATGAAAGAAATGCAAATGAGCGACCTTCGTTGATGGGGGCACCAATAGTACGAGTATTCAAGTTTTTTGGGTGTACGCATTCGACTCTCCGTATATGAAAACAAGAGTACAATTAGTGGCTACTAACATACATACGTACATACTATGGAAGTCAACACTAACTAGAACGAGTACACAATTACATAGTATTATTTAATAAGTTTCATTGAAGATATGTAAGTAAGTAGTAACCTAGGTAAATACGAATGTGTATATGCAATTATTCGACTTGAGGAAAGTATCGCAAAAAGAAAGAATTGCAAGTTAAAAATCAACTTTTTAATTAACAAAATCAAACGTTCTCAGTAACTGCAGTTCTCATTCATATATGTACTTAATTTGTGACAAACATTTCTACGTATTGTATTTGTACGAGTAGTTCACTCACAAAATTTTTAATGATGGTGCTCAAGTTTGCAACTTAAGTACAACGTTGTAAAGACGAAAAGTTGTGAGTATGCATGTGTGGGTACTATGGATGCCAAAATAGCAGAAAAGTTTTGATACCGGGATTTCGGGAACAATGCAAATACCAGGTACTTTTGAAAGTAACGACTAATAAAAAAAAAAATTTAACAAAAATGTACAAAAACAATTTCTCTAAACATGTTTATTCTACTCTATAAAGGAATGGCGAATGGCGATTTTTTTGTCATCTTTTTTCACAATTTACTCGAAATTTTGAGAAAACGGATCTCAGAATCGGATTCAGCGGGTCTAAATACATGTTGGTAGGTGGGTCTGGTTGAAAATACACACCCCTTTATTGTGCTGGTGTTGTTATTATTGCACTTAAAATGTGTTTGTAAGAGCAGCAAAGCATTCAAAGCGGAGTCTACTAATCTTGACTTAAAGTTGTTACATACGTAAAAACCTACTGATGAGAAACATATTTCGGCCTCAACACTTTAGGCTCAACTGTCAAAAGTTAGTCATAAGCCAATTGAAGATAATGAGCCATATCTCCTCCATTATAAAATACTTGAACTTCTTTTACCAGCACGTCGGATAAATTATGCCTTTTTCGATTTGAGCAAGTTTTGAGTAGATTGATTTAAAAAAATGAAGTAACTTTTTTAAAACTCTCTGTTTCGTTTACATTAGCGACGCTATGAGTATATTCATTTAAATCTTCTTCAAAAAAGGCTCAGGCTGCAATTTAAAAGTACAGTTTCAAGCTTTTTGTTAATTGTAGTGAAGACGGCATTTTACAAAAATTATTCTTCAAAATTCATAAACAAGTTCTTACTACCAATTCGATATTTAAAAATTTACGGGATCCCGGGATTAATGCAAGCAAAACCCGGGATTATCGGAACCTCAAAAACACCGGCATCCCGGGATTGGCATACCTAGTGTATACATATGCATGTTTGAATTCCAATTTTCAAGTTTCTGTGAAATTTTATTATTTTTTTGGTATAGTGTTTCTGTCTTTTCTTTACGTCTGATGACAATTACATTCTTAAAAATGGGAAATGTTAATAATATACAGAATACTGCCCTAAGGAATTTTTAGGCAACACTCGTTTCAAATACAAAATTATTTATGTTGACGAAGTAATATCTGCTCCTGTCTGTTAGCGCTGCACTTAACGAACTGTTACTCTATCTAAGGAGTATTACCGTTATTTACTTTCAGCTATAGATTTCTTTAAACGAAAAATCGAACACACTTATCTTAGAAAATGCATTATGTATCTTCAGTTTTGTATAAAGAAAAAGATTCCAACGCGAAATTGGAATTAAAAGAAAACTTAAAAGATATACATATGTATATATAACGGGTGATTTTTTTGAGGTTAGGATTTTCATGCATTAGTATTTGACAGATCACGTGGGATTTCAGACATGGTGTCAAAGAGAAAGATGCTCAGTATGCTTTGAAATTTCATCATGAATAGACTTACTAACGAGCAACGCTTGCAAATCATTGAATTTTATTACCAAAATCAGTGTTCGGTTCGAAATGTGTTTCGCGC